CTAAGGCTATGTATTTCTCTTTTGTATGATCATAAATCAATGATTTTAGACCTGGTAAGATATACTGCAATTATTTCACAGCACATTACGTGTATTAATTTTATAATACAGGATAATCATACTATAATCTGTACACTCAAAGAACCTAAGCAAGAAGGAGGACCCTGGGTAAGATGCTCAGTCATCATTCAGAATAGCAAATGAGATAGACATCAGAAGAGGGAGAAAACAGGGAGCAGGAAAGGAGACTACCACAGAGGGACTCTGAAAGACTCTACCCAGAAGGGTGTCAAAGCAGATGCTGAGACTCATAGCCAAATTTAGGCAGAGTTCAGGGAATCTTATGAAAGAAGGGGGAGATGAAAGACATGGAGGGGACAGGAGCTACACAAGGAAAGCAACAGAACTAAAAAAAACAAAAAACAAAAAACAAAAAACAAAAACAAAAACAAAAACCTGGGCAAAGGGGTCTTTTTTGAGACTGATATTCCAACCAAGGACATGCATGGAGATAACCTAGAACCCCTGCACAGATGTATCCCAAGGCAGCTCAGTGTCCAAGTTTTCCCTAGAAAGGGGAACAGGGGCTGTCTCTGACATGAACTCAGTGACTGACTCTTTGATCATCTCCTCCTGAGAGGGGAGCAGCCTTTCCTGGCCATAGAGGAAGACAATGCAGCCAGTCCTGATGAGACCTGATAGGCTAGGGTCAGAAGTAAGGGGAGGAGGACCTCCCCTATTAGTGGACTGGGGGAGGGGCATGGGAGGAGAAGAGGGAAGGAGGGTGGGATTGGTCTGGGATGAGGGAGTAGGTTACAAAATGAATAAAATGTAATAAATAAAAAAATTAAAAAGCTAAAATAGTTATGTTTTGAGTTACAATTGATTCAAATACTGAAAACCTCCATTATAGCCCCAAGCTATTTGGAAGACTAGTCTGTGGTTTGACAAGGAGCCAGGCCTTCTAGTGTGTGTTCTATTAGTTCTGAAGAGATCAGCTTCCCTTTTAACGGTGTGTGTGGTAGGTCTAATTTGTGAAGTAGAGATGATGAAAGACCGGGGTGTCATGGTTCTAGACCTTTATATATGTGAGTACAGCTAGGAAAAGGATGTTTTATAAGGGAGCAGATTGGGAAATGTCATCGGTGTTTTCAACTGGGATTTAAGATTGCAGGTTTTACTTAAGCATTTTATTTTATATCTGCATTGTTTTTATTATAGGCTGAGAATCTTCAAATGTTGTTGACATTGTTATTCACTTTCATTGTTATTTAGTGTTTACATATGCACCAATATTAGTAACCTCAAGGAGTACACACAGGTTAAGATTTAATTTGCCGTAACAGTTTGTCCTTGTAGTATTGCTGTGTACAGAGTACCACGTTACTTTGTTTTAAAATGACTTGGAATAAGTTTTCCCTTAAATAATGAAATCAATTTCAAGTCAGGTAGATTTATATCTTTAGGATTTTAATGCTTAGGGATTTTTTTATTTTTATTGAATTTGGTTTATGAATTTGTAAAACTTTTACAGTTTTATATTCAAATCTATGAAGCAAAGTATATTCAGAGAAATAGATTTTCTTTCCTGCCATCTCTACTCATTTATTTTGATTTATTTCTCTTTGAAAGAAGCCCTGTACTTGCCTTCCTGAGACATGCACAGTGTTCCCTTACTTAGACCAATGGCGGCTTATTCTGTATACCTTTCTCTGCTTTGCATTTTCAGTTGTACTATATATTAGGGATCTTTCTATTGAATTTGGGAAGGGTGAGTTTCAGAAGTTTTACCTTGATATATACACATACATTTATATACAGTTATTACCCTCTTGATGTGTGTTGGTGCTTACAGGGTTTTAGGTAAAATATTACAATGAATGTGTATATGTGTATGTGCATATATCTATATCTCTCTCTATATATATACATTAATATGTTAGTATAAATCTGGCATAGAAATTTAGAAATTTAATTGCTATGACAAAATACAAATATATATGAAAATTTATAGGATGTTGGCAAATTTTCCTCCACAGATGTGCCATTTTACAAGTGATTTAAAAAAAAATATATAAGAAGGACATGTACACTTCATTTGGCTCTGGGAGAGCTGGAATCGAACATAGAGCCTTGCACATGCAAAGTATGTGTTCTGTTTTTGAGCTATACTTCAAGCTCCTGCAAATTTACTTACAAAAATGTAAAGAGCAAATATTATCCAATGCCATCATCATCAAATATTATCTAACATATGAATTGCTTTTATATTCACACTGCTTTTCCCAGAGATGGTTCCTTCTTCATTTAATTGCCTTATCTTGATCTGCTGTCACCAACCAGTATCTGCAAAATGATTACAGCATACACATTTGTGAATATTCAAACATCTTCTTATTTATTAAGACTACGATGTAGGAAGGTGGTTTTCCTTCCACATAATTCAGCATTACATAATAAAATCTGACAGTAGAAATTGTAAATCCATTCTTGTCCATACCTTGTAGTAGACATTAATTCCTTTCTGACATAAGTTATAACCTATAAATATATTAGGAAAATATATTCTCGAAAAGTATCTAACTTTTAGACTGGATAATGAAATATATTAAATGTCCTTTTAAATGAGCACTGAAACTTTCGTCTTAAGAATATCTTACGAAGGACAGACAGACTCCTCTTCCTTTAGGTTGTTGAGGAATTAGCATGGATAGAACTGACAAAACCCAAAGTAGCAGGTTTTTTTTTTTTTAAATCTTTTTAAAATCACTGTTCCTTTATCAGCTTTTTTTTATTGGTATAGTGGGGGAAGAATTAATTTTAAAAGGTGGTGGATATTGATTCCTTAATGGAAGAATATAGTGTAGAGAAATGCTGAAGTGAATCTCTTCTGTGCTCTCCCATGCAACAGGCCCCATTACGCAGTAATGGGAAGCATTCCGTAACTCTCATTAATATGTAATAGGCAGGAGCAAGCTGGATATAAGCTACTAAATTGCCACAGGCCCAGGTTCCAATAGGCCATAAGAATGTCTCAAGTACACAACAGAGTAATAAATGTCCTTGATGTATTCGTCTGTAAGCAGGACAGTAGTTTCCTCACGTCCCTCTGATCTCAGAGCAAAGGTGTCTGACGGAAGTGCCCACTAGGCAAGGCAAGCAGAAGTGATCGGTGCCCCGGGTCCCTCTCTAGTCTGGTATGCTCTGTAAGAGATGACTTGGAATTTCCCACTGAGGAGCATAATTCCAGCTATTTAGTCTTTTCTTTCACCACAAGCAGAAAGAGCTATGAGCTTGTTGAGCAGAGGAATCAAGTCAGCAAAAGGTATTTTGTCTACCACAGCCATCACCCTTGGAGCAGAATGTCTAACAAGCTTACCACTTGTCACATGCCCAGGATATTTTTATTTCAACTCATTTTATGGAGAAGTAAGGAGTATTAAAGGCACTTAGAAGTAAGAGACATATTTAAGAGTTCCAAGGACAACGATTCTCTGGCAAAGACTTTTTAGAGTCAGCTATGATTTCTGAGTGGACAATGATAAATTCTATAGACTACTGACTACTGCTAGTGATTTTTTTTTCCAAATTACTAGGTTACCTTTTCAGTAAAATCTTTTAATTTCTAAAACCATTTCCTTTGAAATGAGGTGCAACCATTAGGACAAGCTGTTTTCCTTGTATCTATAGGCACACACACAGAGAAACACACACACACACACACACACACACACACACACACAGTTAGATTCCCATCACCCTAAACAATGCATAAAATTAAATAGATAGTGAGAAAGTCAATTTTTTGACTCAGTGACTTTGAAGAATTTTGAAAATGATTCAGGAGAGCCATTTACTCTGAAGCACTTCAAGATTATTTATAATTACCTACCTAGAGAGAGTTTCATGAGAATAAAAATCTAACATTATAACACGGGGGCAGTGGTCTGCTAACAACATATGGAGCTTGTCCTTGAAATCGGTGAGAGAATTTTACCTGCATGGTGGGGAAAGGGCTAGTATCTCACTGAAATTCCATGTGAAATGCAAAGAACTTCAGTTTGACTCTCGATTTCACACTGGGTATGCCTTCATGTTCAGTTTATTAATAGGCCCACTTGAATGCATTCTCTTTCTCATAACCAACAGAAACTTTAAATTTAAGTTAATTTATTAGTGGGGAGTGTACTTGTGTTAGCTTTGATTTTAAATAAGCTTATCTTAGGAGGCAGAAGAAGGATTACTAAGACCCTTGCTTTGTTTTGTTGTTGTGTCTTTATTAGTTATCCACTCTGTAAATAAATACTGCCTGTCCCTTCCTACTGAAAATAATTTAGTGTTCAGCTTATCCAAAGAAGGCTCAGTTTAGAATCTTCAGAGGCTTCATCTGCTTGTGTCAAGAGCCTAAGAAAGAGTATGAGAATTGATTTTTAATTTTAATTTTTATGTTTATTCACTTTGTATCCCAGTTGTAGCCCCCTCGCTCATTCCTTTCCAACCCACCCTCCTTCCTTCATCTCCTCCCATGCCCCTTTCCAAGTCCACTGATAGGGGAGGTCCTTCTCCCCTTCCCTCTGACCCTAGTCTATCAGGTCTCATCAGGACTGGCTGCATTGTCTTCTTCTGGGGCCTGGTAAGGCTGCTCCCCCCTCAGGGAGACATGATCAAAGAATCAGCCACTGAGTTCATGTCATGGGCAGTCTCTGTTCCCCTTGCTAGGGAACCACTTGGATACTGAGCTGCCATGGGCTACATCTAAGCAGGGATTCTGTAACTGCTATATGGTCTTAACCACTTTTGCACAAACTAAAAGACATTTTAGCAATTTTAGTATATGATATAAATAGTATTTATACCTTCAATGCCTTTTGATAGCCCTGAGAAGGACTTTTCATAGCCTACATATTCAAGAGGCATTTCTCAGAAGTTATAATAAATTTATTGCTCTCAGTTGTGAAAGTCACAAACCTTAAGTTTCTTTTCCTTTTTCAATTTTACAGCGCAGCAGCAGTTTTGGGAATTTTGATCGTTTTCGGAATAATTCCATATTAAAATCTGATGACTCAAATGAGGTTAGTGTTTTATTCTATCTTTATGAATGTTGTGATTGCATATTATAAAACTTTATAATGTAAAGAGATAATATCCTTTTCAGAGCTAGGTAAGGAAATTGAATACATTTTCATGTCATGTAGACCTGCACAGAATTTTGAAATAAATGAGCAATTATTTAAGGCCTAGTACCATGTTGGGCATTAAGGTGAATAGCTGTCTAAAAAGCCTACTCAGTATTTGGGCAGAACCTGCATATCAAGTTAGTTATAATTTTATGATAGTTATAATTCAAAGTTACACTGACAGTACCAAGTCCTGTGAGGATATTCATGCTAAAGCAATGCACATGTAAGAACCAATAGCATGCTAAGGAGTTAAGGGGGCTTGATGGTCATTCTGATAAGATGAGCATGTAACTACTCCATTGACTATATCACTTTTAATGTAGGCATTAAGTGTCTTATTGGTTACCATTCAACATGTATCTGTGGACTCTACGCCCCTTGTAAAGGCCCCTAAGCAAAGCACTCTATAACATTACATTTTATATATAATAACAATAGCAGTATCAATGACAGCTGTATTTAATGGAGTGCTTGAAATGAAAGAAGTATAGTGTAACTAATTTACGTATCTAGTTAGGAACTATTAGTGTTTTAGTTTTACTGTTGAGGAAATGCATGTGTTCACTGAGCACAATTTCTTTTCAACTACTGACTTAGCAAATGACAAAGGCAGAATGTGAGCTCTTCTCTCACTCTAATTCTGCAGTTCTGTTATACCATCTTATTTATCAAAGGACACCTACTGTAACTAAGGAAAGGCACACTAACTAGTTAAATAACATAAAGGTTGCACACTTAGAAAATTAAGAATGCAGAACATATTCATTATTAAAACTAACTCTAAACCTGAGTCAGTGAACTCACTAACAGTTGATTTTAGATAAAGTTTCTATCAATATCACATACATATATATGAATACATTATTTTAATTTCAGAAATGGATATTCTAGATAAAATAAATTAAAATAAAATTTTATATTATATTATTTTGTAATATTTCCATTGGCATATTTCTATATGTATAACATATTTTAATTGGTTTATGTAATAGATAGATAGATAAGCCATTACACACACACACACTCTTTATTTTTTTCCCCTGCTGATGGGATAAAACACCATTCCAAAAGCAACTCTGTGTGGAACGGGTTTCTTCTAGATAAAGATCACAGTCTATCCTGGCCGGGCAGTCAAAGATGCAGGAGCTTGAAGAAGCAGGTCGTATCACACGCATCGCCTAGAAGCTGAGAGCAATGAATGCATGCTACCACTCAGTTTCCTTTCTCCATTTATCAAGTCCAGCCAGGGAATGGTGGCTAGAGAGGACGGCTCTTTCCATCTCAATTACGTAGTCAAGATCATCCTGCATGACCATGCACAGCAGTTCTAACTGATCCTAGATCTTGCCAGACTGACTGTAAACACTAACCGCTATAATCACTTTTTGCCATCTATATGTTTATGGATGATTATATATGTACTCACAAAACATGTATTTGTAAACACTTGTTTATTTATGTATGTGTATATATATATGTGTGTGTGTATACACAGAGGAGAGGTTACTTATATGACTATTTTCATGTAGTGTGTTGTATATAATTTTAACTCTCTATAACTAAATGTAGCTGTATTCTCCTGCTATTTAGCTTTTAACAAACCTATGAAAGTATACAAATTTCATTCACTGTCATTGGAATAAGTCATTAATTATTCTTTGTGAAAATTGGCCTTGTAAATTGCTAAAGCATTTAACAGAGCTGATAGTTTCTCATTTTTCTTTTTTTAAATGTTTGTAAAATATTTATTTATTTATTAATATTAGTCACAGTTTATTAACTTTGTATCCCAGCTGTATCCTGCTCCCTCATTCCCTCCCAGTCCCACCCTTCTTCCCTCATCTCCTCCCTGCTCCTTTCCAAGTCCACTGATAGTGGAGGATCTCCTCCCCATTCATCTGACCCTAGCTTATCAGGTATCTTCTTCATCCTGTTCACAGATAACTACACAATGACAAGGTTTCTCTTAGGTACTCCAGAGTACTGTTGCAATAAAAGATGAAAATGCCTATTTCATGAGGCCTGGAGACTGGAAGCAATATTACTTTAAAAGTGGGACTGGGAAAAGATGGAGAAGGCTACAGCCGGGATACAAAGTGAATAAATTGTAATAAATAAATAAATAAATAAATAAATAAATAAATAAATAAATGATGAAAATAACAGAACTGTAAATTCAAAACAAAAATTTAGTTCAGGACATGAAGAACTTCACAGAGAAGAAAAATAATTCAAAATATATGGGACAAGTTCTCTGCAATGAACTATGGCTTACATTGGTTGTCCATTTGCATTTATCATGTGCAATTTGGGGTAAGATATGAAGCAAAATATAATATTGAATAATAATGATGTTAACTATGTGGTTAAACTTTCATATCAAAATATTGAGGCCCTCTAAACAGAAGTTCCCATCGTTTTATGTTCTGGAATGACCGGCTGTCCAGTTCTCAAGCATGGTGGGCAGTACTAAGGCAGATGACCTTCAGAGTTGATTGCGAGCACATCTGCGGTGTCAGGAACATCTGATCCTAACCTGTTCTCCAGTGGAGGGGGAGAAATATCCACATCAGGGCTTTTGCTTATATAAAGGAGAGTGAACACCAGTTAATGTGCCTGGAATTATTCTAGAGCATAGAATGAACTACATAGCGAAAGCCTTTACTCCAGTGGAGTATGCATCATGTGGGAAATGCAGATAACCATTAAAAGAATAAACATGATCAAGCAAAATAATATCAGAGATTAATAAATCAGATAAAACAAACAGGAAATGTGGACAGGTATGGAGTGACCGGTCAGATCACTTCTTTCCTGTTACTATGCATATAGGAGGAAACCCAGATAGCTTAAGAAAGACATCTGTAGCTATCTAGAGGAAGGCAAGGCAAAGCAAATCCAAACTCTGGTGAGAACCTGATAAAGTTAAGGAGATGCATTATCACGGTAATATTATATTATCAATTCTTTCAAGTTTTATTGTATATCTGTGGGTCAGAATCACAATTGTCTTGTAAAGCTGTCCTCATATACTGTTTTGAAATATACATGCTGTTTTGGAATCTGATTAGTAGCTAAGAGTATGTTCATAAAGATACATTATTCCAAATAGATTCTATAGGATGTAACACATAATTTATAAACATAATATTGATTAATAATATGTTAATTATGTGGTTAAACTTTCATATTAAAGCATTTAAGATTACCTCAAAGAACTTTCTCACTATTAATTATACTATACCATGTCGATTTATGCTTTGCTCTCGAGCTTTGTAGAAAAACACCAATACTTGTTTTATTCTGAGTCAGAGGGAAAAAAAATCACTGCTTTAGGAATATTGTTGAGGAGCACCAGCTAATACCAGCAAAAAAATAAAAGACTTAATTAGTACCATGTATGCAATATATATGAATTATGTATTTCTCTATTAATGGATTGAGCCTGGTAATATTTACTGTTACTTAAAGTGAAAAACATGCATGCATATGCAAATAGCCAGAAGAAAACATTGCAGATTCCAACTGTTTTCATTAAAACTTTAAAACTTCTTTAAAAATAACTATGACCATGAGAATCTCTTGGAGATACAAGAGGCTGTTATAATGTTCTTCCATCACAGATCACAGATGGGTGTTAAAGGTTTTTCTAATCCCTCCATTACATGATCTCTCTTCTTAGGAGCTGGGAACAGTGAGGATGCCTGATGATTCCTTATATTTTGTTCATCTCAAAGACAAGAACTAAAATGATTGTTCAATAAAGCTCTTAAGCCATAAGTTCTCAAAGACTTTCACATGCAAAGATGAGAACTTTCAACCAAGTTTCCTATGCAAGAAGCCAGCTGTAAATGTTTACTAACATGTGTTATGTCCAGAATGTGTGCTTCATGAAACGAACAAAAAATTTAAACTTGGATTCTCCTAAGGAACTTATCAATCAATGCTCTTAGGGTTGGACTTGGAGTTTAGATGTGGCGCCCTTGCCTAGCACGTGAAATCCCTAGCACTGACAAACACTTGACTCAAATGGTCTTTTCTTCATTATTCTGTCTTTTGTAAAAATTCTACATTAGGTCCATGATGGGGAACTAACAAATGGAAGTGAAGAACAAGATAAAACTTCAAACAAAGGAGGAAGTCTAGGTAAAAAAATGAAGGCTATTTCATGGACAATGAAGAAAAAAGTGGGAAAAAAATACATCAAAGCGCTTTCTGAGGAAAAAGTGAGTATATTTTGGCATCTGTGTTTATATATAAATAGATGAAAAGTATCCAGTAGGCCCTTCCTCTAAACCTAGACTATTTGGTGTTTTATGAAGCACTCAGACATATTTTTTCCTTTTCATACCCAGAAGTTCTATAATTTTCTTTTTTTTCACCAAACCTACTTTACTTAGGTTTTTTTTTTTAATTATAGGCTTTTTATTTTTTTAATTTATTACAATTTACTCACTTTGTATCCCAGCTGTAGATGCCCCCCCTTCAACTCCTTCCTGTCCCACTCACCCTTCCTCTTCCTCCCCTAGCCCTCTTCCCTAGTCCACTGATAGGGGAAGTCCTCCTCCCCTCCTGTCTGACCCTAGCCTATCAGGCCCTATCAGGCCTGCCTGGACCCTCTTCCTCTCCGGGTTCCCTAGGTCGCTCTACCAGAGAGAAGTGATGAAGGAGAAAGAAACCAAGTTCATGTCAGAGACTGTCTCTTCTCCGTTTACTAGGAGACTCACATAGAGACTGAGCTTTCTATGTGCTACATCTGAGCAGGGGTCTAGGTCCTCTCTCTGCATGGTGTTTGGTTGATGCATCAGTTTCTGTAGTCCCCCCCTGGGTTGGACTGGTTCTTATGTTGTGCATATCATAAACATTTGATTCTTTGTATGAAGAACTTTTTTGTTTCCTTTTGATATATGGTAATTATACAGCTAATATTTTGAGAAGCTGGGAAGTCCTAGCTCAAAACTGCGCAGTTTTACAGACCCAATATCTATGAATAAGTGACTCCAATGTTTCTATGTCATTCCAGCCCATGGAATGTTTAAGTATCAGCCATTAGTAAATATGAAGTAGACTCACACTGTTATTTTTATTTCTATTTTCTTATAATAGAAGATACTGATATCTTTTAATGTGCTTGTTGGTTATAATGATTTATCTTTACAGACATATCTATTTAAATATTTTGTCTGTTTTTTAATATTCAGTTATCACAATTTATTAAACTTTAGAGGTTTACATAATTTCAGAATGAGAGGAACACCAAGGATTTACTAGGGGCAAATGCCTGTGCACTCTAAAGGAGGCACATGTGAAGGGCGAGCCTGCAATGGCAGTGCCAGTCTGACATCTCTAAAGAGAGACGGAGAAGAGATGAGATTCAGAGTCTATCTTTTCAGTCCACTTCTGAGAACATTTTGACACATGTATTGGGAATTCTTGAACTAAGGTTCCCCAAAAGAAGAGCTCAGTTTTTCACCAATATAGTTGTAAATGTTAGGTCCATGTATTCGGGCACTGAAGTGGTACGGTCTGTGTGAACACACGGGTGTATACAAAGGGGAATGGCTGGAACGTCTCCTGTATTAGCCACATTGCTGTGCTATTGACATAACACAGCAGACCCGTTACTCACAAAGAACCTTATTTTAGGTCATAGTTGTGGTCCAAGATTGAGGGGTCACATCCCATAATGGCTTGTTTAGTGTCAGGGTGACAGTGCAGCAGAGGTTATCACGCAGCAACAAATACAGTGTGTATTTGTTGTATGTGTAGATGTTTTTAGTGTCTATATCTTTGCTAGTAAAGCCACCAATATCCAGTCATGGATGCTCTGTTCTAATGACCTCATCTAGTCACCTCTCAAAGGCCCTGCCTCTACACACCAAAGTCAGATGATGTTTCCCTTTTATGATACTGCACAGTGAAAATGTCATGCATGTGAGTTTTTTGGAAACAAAATGAAACCATAACCTTTGGTCTCCAACCTCCAAGGCTCATGTGCTTCTCACAAGACAACATTACAGTCAGTAAGGTGGAATCCATGGGAAGAAGTCTAGGGGTCACATGCCCTTGGCCACCACAGTGGTCTATGATGTTCCTCATGAGCAGGCTATCCTTCACTGCTTTTCTTTCACTACATTGGCCTGAATACACAAGGCTAATTGTGAGTTCCTGTTTTGTTCTTATCTTCCCTTTTGGTTATGAAATTATCTTTAGAAGAAAATGTAAGTTCTATTGTCTCATAATTCAGGTCTACATATTATAAAAGAATATCTTCATATTTTTTCAGGTGGATTCTGGGCATTTGTTACCATAGGATTGAAGTCTTTGAAAGTCATTTTGCCTAAATCAACTACCTCCCCTTCATCCTTGCCTGACTTACTAGTTCTCTCACTTTATATAGCCTATCTCCTTCACAGCGTTTATGATTATCATCCTAATCTGTTCACATACATATGTCCAATCACTTTAAAGACATATAAACACATCGTTTATACACTATGCATAGCCCATTCAGACTACAACATAATTTGTTAGAGTCAAAACACTTTTACTCTGCTATCTTGCTTATTACAGTATTCACACATTTTAGAAAGGTGGCAAGTACCTAGGCTGTGCTTTATAAACCTTCCCTGAATGACTGAATATAGATGAAAGCAGAGAATCTAACTAAGTCTATGTGTATTATAAAGTTTTATCAATGCTCAGTAATGCTCAAAATAAGACTATTGAATTATATTGTGATGAGTATTAAGAAATTCATAGGCTTTGCCCAAAGGTTCTAAAAATGGAAAACATTTGATATGTTTTCAAGGAAATGTAATTTGTTTTGAAATTGTCAGTCTTTTCTAATTTTATGCAAGATCTGCTTTTCACTTGACTAAGTGGCAAGCACAGTATGAGATTTGTAAAGCTCCTTAGATAAGGCTTGCTTTAGAATTGCAAAGTGAGCATGTTTTATTCATATCTAGTGATCTGGTAGCGTGCAAATAACTGACATGAAACAAATGTGCAGAGTTTAAACCTGTAGTATCAGATCTCAAAGGATTAGTAATGGTGGCAAACAGATAAGGAGAACATGAAGAAGAACGGCACTTTAGCAGAAAAAGCATTGATGCCAATACCTCTAACATTTCTGATTAAGTAGTCTTGATATGATATTCATCTTTATTTGCAAAAATAGAGCATTATAATTGCAGTTGAATTCCACAACATGCAATGTCTTATCTAGGGAATTTTTCCAAGTATACTCTAAACTGTTTTCCTAGAAAATGAACTGAAGATTAATGACTCTCATATTTTATGCTGATGTATTCATGAGTGTTTTATTGTTTAAATGTGTCTTGCTTGTTGAGTCAGTGCACACAATGAACATCTCCATGGAAATCTGATCTGCACACTTAACCTCTGATATGTTTTGTTCTGAAGGAGCTGGAAAATGGAGAGGAAGCCCTCCCATATCGAAACAGTGATCCCATGATTGGAACACGTGCAGAGAAGAGCACCCTCAAAGCCAGCGACTCTATGGATAGTCTCTATAGTGGGCAGAGCTCATCAAGTAAGGCTAATGAGTAAGGGGTGGTGCTGTAGTAATGAAGCCAGTGATAAGCTAATTCAAAGAACAAGGAATGATCACCCTGAGGTTCTTTATCAAATTAGAAACAAATATAATAGAGAAGTTGAAAAGGCTACATACATTGAACATACATTGAGTATATGCAGACTTATTATTGATTGTGATACGAAGCATAGAACAATATATTTTTGATGCTATAGCCTGCAGGGCTTTTGTGAATATTCCTCCAAAAAGTTGTGTTAAGAAATAAAATCTGATAGCAAAATTGTGTGCTCTGGAAACCTAGTGTTATCTTGATTTGAAAGGCATAAAATTATTTGAAATGAAGAAGTAAATTTTTTTTATTATTTTCTGATGTTCCTTCTTTGATTTTTTCTGTCCCTTCTTCCTTTTATCTTTCACTCCTCTACCCTTCCTCTTCTTTCCCTCCCTCTCTCCTTTCCTCCCTTCCTCCCTTTTTCTTTGCTTTCCTCCCTTTCTCTCTCTTTCCCTTCCTCCCTCTCTCCTTCTCTGCCTCCCTCCCTCCCTTCTTTCATTCCTACCCTCCTTTCTTTTGTAATTTCCTGATTTTTTCAAAGTGCAGGACATTTGGTTCAATTCTGTCATTTACATTTATTGTTAGTAAGGAGAGACTGAAGCAACGGATAATACTGCATGATAGATATGTCACCTGTGGGGTGAGAAAGGGGATTAGCAGAAACTGTAACGACTGCCGAATCAAAACTGATATTTGTCTAAGAAGGACATTTCTCAAGATCAGTTACATTTTCTGCAACAATAGTTGCAAGAAAATACTGATAGTGCTGGTGCCATATATATTTTATATGTAAACTGTTATCTTTCCTGCATTCTCTTCAGGACTTTTAAATGTCACTTCAAAGTTTATTTTTTCCATTTCCTTTTTTTGAGATTTAAATTTTTTTTTATTAATTAGACTTTATTCACTTTGTATACCCCTGGTACTACTTCCCTCCACCCTTCCCAATCTCTCCCTTGTTTCCCCTTCTCCAAGCATGCCCCTCCCCAAGTCCACTGGTAGGGGAGGTCTTCTTTTCCTTCCTTCTGATCCTAGTCTATTAGGTCTCATCAGGACTGGCTGCATTGTCTTCCTCTGTAGCCTGGTAAGGCTGCTCCCCTCTCAGATTATGTCAGAGACAGTCCCTGTTCCCATTACTATGAAACCCACTTGGAGACTGAACTGTCATAGACTACATCTGTGAAGGGGTTCTAGGTTATCTCCATGCATGGTACTTGGTTGGAGTATCAGTCTCAGGAAAGACCCCTGTGCTCAGATTTTTTGGTTCTGTTGCTCTCCTTGTGGAGCTTCTGTCCTCTCCTGATCTTACTGTTTTCCACTTCTTCCATGCACTCTGCCCAACAGTTGCCCATAAGTCTCAGCATTTGCTTTGATAGTCTGCAGGGCAGAACCTTTCAGAGGCCGTCTGTGGTAGGCTCCTAACTTGTTCCCTATTTTTCCTTCCTTTGATGTCCATCCATTTCCTTTTAAACCGACTGTTTCCGTTATTTGAAGATGGCTCACGAAGGGCAGGTGTTTTAAATACCCTTAATTTTAATCTTATTAGCTACAGTGCAGTTATTTTGTGGTAAAAAGCTAATGTAGAAGCATTTGAAGGATTGTGTGTGTGTTTGTTTGTGTGTTCTATTCGGATTTCATAAGTGTTCAGTTTTGCTGGAAGTTTTCAAGTTCGAGGTGTGGTACTGAATGTGGGAAGAATTTAACTCCTCTAAGGTGCCATACGGGCAGACAGTGGTCTACTTAAATGTTTCATTTCCCTTCATACCCAATGTGGAAATTACAGAATTTTTGCCTTATTTCACAATTCATGGCAGCCTCTTTGAGCAGCAAAAGGTCAGCATGAAGGAGGAAGTGAGGAGACTGGGGGTGTGCTAGAAACAACTAGCCTCTTGCACTGCGAACAGACCTGACATTACAAAAGGGGAGCAAAAGGGAGCAAAACGGAATGCTTCTCTCTCTTTGTCTTGCTCTTACTTGTTTTGATTTACCTGGAATTCAAGATCAGAAAGGAAAGAGACCAGAAAAAAAGCATTCAGGCTGTTGAGGATAGTTTGGAGGTTCACACATTTCTGCAAATGACCTTTCCAGTCTTATGACAAACAAAAGTATTGCCATTTATAAGCAGAGATATTTCTCTCACTTGGCCGTTGGAACACAGTAAGAATTCTGTGGATGACCTGTTTTTGAAATTAAATTGTTTATTCATTTTATATCTCCATGGTTGCTCCTTCCTCCTTTTCTTCCCCTACCACCCTCCTCTTTCCACCCCCTCCCCCAGCTCATCAATTCATCCTCTTCCCCATGGCCTGGTAATGGAGTCTCATCAGTGGGAAGTGATCAAAAAGCAGGCAACAGAATCCTGTCAGAGGCAGCCCCTGCTCCCCTTACTAGTGAACCCATGTGAAGCCTGAGCTGCTCATCGGCTACATATATGGAGAGGACCTAGGTCCAGCCCATGCAGGGTCCTTGGTTGGTGCTTCAGTCTTCAAAAGGCCCTCTGGGCTCTGGTTATTTGGCCCTTTTGGTCTTCTTGTAGAGCTCCTGTCACCTCTATATCCTTTTATCCTTCACCCCTCTTTCCCAGTAGACTCCCCATGCTTCCCCCAATGTTTGCTGTGAGTCTAAGCATCAAACTGTTGCTGGTTGGAGCCTCTCAGATGACAGCTCTGATAGTCTCCTGTCTGAAAGTTTAGCAGAGTATCTTAACAATGTCACAGGTTGGCTCTCTTCCATAGGATGAGTCTTGGATTGGGCCAGGAATTTGTTGGACATTCCCTCAATCTCTGCTCTGTCTGTTCTATCATAGCCCGGCAGGCAGGATAAGTTTCAGATCGAAGTTTTGTGGGTAGGTTGGTGTTCTCCTCCCTCCACTAGGAGTTATGTCCAGTCCAGTCTAGGAAGCCACTGCTACTAGAGTCTCAGCTAAAGTCCCCCTCATTTCCTCCCAGACAGATGTCTCCAGCTTATAACAAAGATGCCCCTACCCACAGCTTCTCTTTTCCCTGCAGGCCTTCTGTCCTCCCACCCCCACTCTACCCAGGTTTGATCTCTACCATCATTTCTCTCTGAGCTTCCTCTCCTACCTTGTTCCCTCTCTTCAACCACTGCCTCTGTCTATTCTATTTCCCCTTCTGAGCGGGATTTAACCATCCTCCCTTGGCTCCTCCTTGTTACTCATCTCCTTTGGTCTGTGCATTATAATACATCTATCCTGTAGTATATGCTAAAATCTGCTTAGAAGTGAGTATATATCATGTGTATCTTTCTGGGTCTGTGTTACCTCACTCAGGATGATCTTTTTTAGTTTCATCAACTTGCCTGCAAATTTCATGATTTCCTTGTTTGTAATGGCTGAGGAGTATTCCATGATGTAAATGTATCACAGTTTCTGTATCCATTCTTTGGTTGAGGGACATCTAGGTTGTTTCCAGATTTTTGGCTATTACAAATAAAGCTGCTCTGAACATAGTTGAGCAAATGTCCTTGTATGGTAGAGCATCTTCTGGGTGTATGCCCAGGAGTGGTATAGCTGGGTCTTGAGGGAGGGCTATTCCTAGTTTTCTGCAAAGTGCCAGATTAATTTCCAAAGTGGTTGTAAAAGTTTGTACTCCTACAAGAAATGGAGGAGTGTTATCCTTTCTTCACATCCTTACCAGCATGTGCTATCATTTGAGTTTTTTACTTTTCTTATAATTATGTAAGTTATAGGAAATCCTGGAATATCATGCGTTGACCATTTATGATAAATAAGAAGAAATGATTCAACGGTTAATATAGAATTCTTTTTTAGTTTTCAACTATACAATTATCTATCTAGCTAAAGGTTTGAACCTATATCTCGCTCCAACTTAGCAAGTAGGCATTGTTTATGCCCTCTAAGACAGATCAGATCATAGTGTCCAAATGAGGCCTGATTGTAACAAGAATTGAAAAGAGTATTTTGACTGGCAGGGAAAGTGTCAAAACTACCTCAGAACGGAGTCTCTGCAGGAGTATAACTAGGAGCTACATAAGATCGGCATCCATTGTTCCAGTTCTAGGTGCAGGAGGCAAAGAACATTTTACAAGAAATGTTAACCTTTCCTTCATCAGGTGGAATAACAAGCTGTTCGGATGGAACAAGTAATCGAGACAGCTTTCGACTGGATGATGACAGCCCCTACTCAGGGCCTTTCTGTGGCCGTGCCAGAGTACACACAGACTTCACACCAAGTCCCTATGACACCGACTCCCTCAAAATCAAGGTGGGCCAACATTACATATGCTTCCTGGTTTGCCAACACTAGTTGCATGCTATACTTTAAGGAAAGATGGAAGCTGGGAGTTTTTCCTATACAGTAAGCTGGACCAGATCCCAGGGAAGAGCTTGAACTTAGTATAAGGTGGGGTGCAAGCGATCAGCTGTGGCCATTAGCCACAATAATGCAAGTTCAGAGACTGGGAGAGGGATGAACTGTCTGCATTCTTCTAAACGCTGCAGTCTTCAGAGGTGGCCAGCCAGATACTCCCACCTGATACATGGCAAAGTAAAAATAACAAAGCAAAAGAGAGAAAAGGAAGATAGAACTCTCAGACAGGAACCCAGCAAAGCAAAAGCGTGGGGAACCAGACTTGGCTGCAAAGCTCCAGTTCTTTCTAAGTGGTTTACCATGAGCAACCACAACTCTTTCTTCTTTTTTTTTTTTTCTAATGAAAACCCCACCCCGAATTCTTCATACAACAAATTACCTTCAGCTCTGAGGCTTCAAATAACACATATCTATTTAATCACAGTTTTTGCAGGTCATAAATCTAGGTATGGCTCAGCTGTTTATTGAACAAGGATATCCCTGGGTTAAATCAGGCTTCCAGCCATGCTGTGATCCCCTGAGACTTGAAGTACTACTTCAAGCTCCCACGCTGTTGGTAGAAGACAGTTTTTCATGCTCTCTGGTCCATGAGCCACCAAGTCGATCCTTTGGAGCTCTCATACAACACAACAAAGAACCCACAGTTATCACTGAGGAAGTACATTGACTGAGTCTTTCTTTGCCTGGGTCACCTGTCAGCTTTGCTGAAATGAGCAAGTTTAAAAGATATGAGGTACTGAACATGAAAGTTAAAATATGATAGGAAAGACCCGGTAAAGAAGTACCACACCTAGAAACGCATCAGCACTTTGTGGAGTTTGCTGATCTCATTGTTGGATGGCATTTGGATCGCCAATTCATTCTCTCAAATGAAAAGTGGAAATGCCAAGACTCATACCCAGACAGATACACAAACTATACCAAATCAAAGAGATCATATCTTTCAATCACACTCAATTCTAAGTAACTATAACAAATAAAATTGTGTTTCACATCAATCACATTCACAGGCAAGCAGGAAGATGCAAACTTAAGCATAGCTCCAAGGAGCAAATATTTAAATCCAGCAAATATTGGGATCCATCACATCTTTTGGGGATCTAAAGCTGTATATCAAAGGAGCATATATGACTCTTACAAACAGGCATTCATTTGCCCAGAAATCAGTTTTCTTTATAAAGAAATAGCTGCAAGAGAATTTTTTTTTGTATTTTTAAAAGTAGGTTGTTTTTATTATCAACATACATTAATATAAAATCTAAATTGTCCTTTTTCAAGTTTTGGAAATTTTTTATGCGTTCAGTCATTACATGTTTAAAAGCCACTTAATTCTTCTTTTTTAATTTTTTTAACTTTTATTAATTACACTTTATTCATTTTGTACCCCCCCGTAAATCCCTCCCTCCTCCCCTTCTAATCCCACCTTTCGTCCTCCTTCTTCACGCATGCCCTTCCCCAAGTCTACTGACAGGGGAGGTCCCCCTTCTCCTTCCTTGTGGTCTTAGTCTATCAGATCTCATCAGGAGTGGCTGTATTGTCATTCTTCTGTGGCCTTGTAAGGCTGCTCCTCCTTCAGGGGGAGGTGATCAAAGAGGAGGCCAATCTATTTATGTCAGAGGCAGTCCCTGTTCCCATTACTATGTAACCCACTTGGACACTGAACTGCCATGGGCTACATCTTTGTAGGGGTTCTAGGTTATCTCCATGCCTGGTACTTGGTTGTAGTATGAGTCTCTGGAAAGACCCCTGTGCTCAAATTTTACTCCTGCTAGTAACTGCAGCCTATAGGCAAATGTAGTCTTAGATGACTATACAAAATGCAAGCTGGTTTGGCCTTGTCAGTCTGCCTAGTTCATGCTTCTAAGAAAACTTCATTGTGGTTTTTCGGTCTATGTAATATTTCCTCTTGATGTTATCAGAAATTTTGGGGAATCCCAGTGAGATTACCATATTACCTGGGAAATCAGAGTTCCTATGTGGATTTCTTAGTCTCCTTAATAAAAGAATTTTAAAATGGACTCAAAGTTGAGGAAAATTTGATTATAATTAAAAAAAAAAAAAAGAACAGGGTAGAAAGCTGTAAGTCTTAGCAGCTACAGGGAAGAGGAAGCAGAAGAGGAACAGAGAAAGACACGCCCTGTGAATTAACTCTGTGTAGAGGTTCACCCACATGGCAGACAAGCAGCCAAATGGTAGAGATGGGCATCAGAGAAAGAATGACGTCAAATTGTTAGGGAAGGTACACTTAGAGAAAAGGTAGGCATATGGAAGGAGAAAGTTATGCTTTTTCTGAGTAACTCAGACAGAGCCAGGAGACTGTCTGCAGCACTGTACTAGGGTGCCAATTCAGGAAAGTTGAGCACTCTCTTTTCAACATGGCTTAAGGTATACCCAATTACCAAGAAGTGGTCTTTTGTCCAGAATAAATAGATTAGTTCTCTTCTATTTGGAGTACCTTGGAATGTTAGGGCTCCCTCTAGGCCTGAGAAATAGCTTTCCCTAATGGGCCCCCACCGATTATAGCTCAGTGCTACTGTGACACTGATGGGAAGAGCGCCATCAGTGCCTCAAGAATCAAGCAGCAAACCTGGCTGAATGAATACTTTGGTTACATATTTCGTAAATCCTATACATGCATTACTTTAGGTGGAGAAAACTGTTTACGTGGACTTATTTTAGACTGTAAATGAATTGTGTTAGATGAGCTAAAATCATGGACGGAATCCACAGCTTCTTTCTCCCCTTTAAGAGAACACATTGGATGATGACTTGATGATTTGGCCCAATGCTGATTTAGGAAGAGGAATGAAAAGTCTGACCCCACCCTTACCCTCTTTTAGGCTCTTGAGAAGTCATTTAATATTGCTGTTTCTTTTCCTGTAATACTTAAAGCAGTTATCTGATGCTGCGCTCTCTTTACCCAATACATATGCAGTGGGTTCAAAATAATAGTATATTTAACTTATCATGTATATTGTTCTACAAATGTAAGTCAGTGAGTTGATACAAGGACAAGAAAAGCATCATCAAGCATGTTGGCATTTTCTTCACTACACAGTGAAAACTTTCAAAGAATTGAAGTCACATCGATTTCTGTAATCTCCAAATACCTTGAGCATATTACTCTCATTTCTTTAAATTCCCAAAGCTCCTTTCTTTTTACATATTACTACAGCATGATGGTGCTTCGGGATTTGATTTGTATTTGTCTTCATCCTTAGAAAGGAGACATCATAGACATTATCTGCAAAACACCAATGGGAACGTGGACAGGGATGCTGAACAATAAAGTAGGAAACTTCAAGTTTGTTTATGTGGATGTTATCTCAGAAGAGGAAGCAGCTCCTAAGAAAGTAAAACCACAGAGAAGCAGTAAGAGAGAGGACACCAAGACCGTGCAGGAGTTCTTAGAGACAATTGACCTTCAGGTTGGTAAACTTTTGGTATGTTTGGTTTTGTTGAAAAATGGATAGAATACTTGAGGAGAGTAGATTAGTATTTATGCAGAGTTGTTAAAATATATTTACAGCAAAAAAAATCTGTTTTCCTAGAACAGCTCTTATTTTGCCTTTATTACTTTTATTATGCAAGGACAGGTCTTAATATAGCACCCTTTGGACTAAACCCTAATGGTACTTAGCAGCCAGTGATAAGACAAATAAATGTAGAAAAGAAAAAGAGAAATGAAAAATGAAAAAAAAAGTATCTAGGAGAATAGAAGATCATGGAAAAATTTAAGTGGAATGATAAAGAGGAAAGGAAAACTATAGTAAAATCTGTGAAATTGAGAGGAAAAATGACAGGAAGCTTGAAATTTTATAGTAGAGAAAGCAAAATGAAATGCGAAGAAAATGACTGAAAATAAGATCTCCAAGGTAATTCAAGAAACAGTGATTATTACTGTTCTAGTGGTTATTTCAAAGAAAAGTTTGTTTTATTAGCACTTCAGTTGAACCCATTGCACCACTGGCACTCCAACTGTCTATTTTATAACCTTATTTACTTCTATTATTACATTTTAAAAGAAAGAACTCTCGATAAATGGTATAATATACCATATAGTACAGCATACACTATAGTCTCATTCCAGTCACAGTTTTGCATTCCATTCGTAAAAATGAACTCAGCAGTACTTTGAAAATGTACATAATTCATCCTGACAACAGAAATTATACTTTTCTTAATTGGTATTTCTGCGCTACTAAGTTACTCTCTTGTCTGTCAACACACTGTTTAAGTATTTTCTATCAAATGCTCTAGAGTTTGTTTGGAGGAAACTAGAATATATAGAATGGGCTTAAGCAAGAGTTCCATTGGTGTTTTGATTATCGTAGACCTTTCTATACTTAATTCCAATGTAGAGAAAACACAGCATTTGAACCCTACTAGTTTACAGATAATACATACTTCCCTCCACCTGCAGGAATACACTTCAACACTTCTGCTCAATGGTTATGAAACTCTGGATGACCTGAAGGATATCAAAGAGAGTCATCTCATTGAATTAAACATTACCAACCCAGAAGACAGGATGAGGCTACTGTCTGCTACTGAGAGTCTCCTGGATGAGGAAAGTAAGTATATACATCCATTCTTCTCCTGCTTGCTCATCATGCCTTAATGTAAAGAGTGAAATCATTAAAAGCAAAGCTCAAATGTCTTTTACTAAGAATCCTATAAAGCATTCTTTTCTTTAACATGAGGAATACTTTTTACATAATATTGGATAAAACAAACGCTGGCCAAAATGTGTAGTCAAGGAAAATATTTTTACTATATTCTTAAGAAAGGAAAATATTTCTTTGGGTCTCTTGTTTTGGTTCTACCAAGCTATTAATTTACACACAATTGGATGCCTGCTTTCTCAAAGACCAAGGGACTTACAGACAAATATTCTAGTGCCAGCATGAGCTATTAGTAAGTAATGCCACACATGTGTTCTGTAGCACAACACAGAGCCTGGCTATATGCTAATGAGCCTTCCCTGCCACATAGGAAAATTCATTTCATTACCACATAGTCACATCTTGTGTGTGTGTGTTTATAGTACTCTTTGTAAATGTTATAATAGCTTGTAAAAATATTCAGCACTCACTTTTATTATAGGAGATGGCTCTCTGTATTTATAAATATAAACTGAAGAAGAAATAATAAATGCAGATTCATTTATGGTTGAGTACACGTTACACCAGCTAGGTTTATAAAAATGAAATAGCTTTTATTTTTACAGTTGTCCGTCCAGTACACCATTTCTAATGAATCTAGTTAAGCCTCCAAACCCTGAGTTTAGGGTGGACATAGTACTGTAGAGTATTTTGTAATGGAAAAAAAAAGGAAAAGGCCTCACCCTACAACATGCAAAGAACAGAAAAGCTAATTAGACTCAATAGCTATATATGTATAGTTATTGCTGTGTGCTTGTGAATGCAGTTGTCGATGGGACGCTAGGGAAACATGGTGGGAGATGGCAGGAGGAAGAGAATGGGTAGAACTAATGTCATTACAATGTATTCGTGCATGGAATTCTCAAATAATTTTTAAGAGAAAAAGAAAAAAAAGAAGAGAGAGAAAGATAGAGAAGAGGGAGAGAGAGAAAAGGAAGAGAGAGAAGAGGGAGAAAGAGAAATAGCCAGAAACAGAAAGAGACACACACAGACACAGAGAGAGAATAAAATAAAAATCGGTGTTTCCGAAAAGTGGCAAGAGCATCTCATCATCCTCTGAAAGGGAAGAAGCTACTGCAGCTGTCCTGCAGCGGGGTTTGTAAAATGCAGGGCATCGATGCAGCAAGCAGTGCTGTCTGCTGTCAAGGACAAACAGTATTCAGCAGGAGCCAACAAAGGGAAGGCAGAATCACTTGTGTTCACTTCACCTCTTCATCTGTATCTCGAATTATCAGTCTACTCCCTACCTTATCCAAAGAAGAACGACTCACAAAGATAACAATCTGAGAGCTGGGTGCAATTTTACCAACTTCCAACCCCAAATATTAGCTTGCAAGGTAGGAAAACTAAAACATGAATAGCTAAGTGGATTTTTCAAGCCCATATATCTGGGACTTAGTGTCCCACTCCTCTGAGATTGTATGTGACAGTCTTTCTTGTCTCTTAAAACAAAATCCAATTGTTAGACATACAGAAAGGATAAATCCCAGAAATGACTTCCTTGTATAAGGCTTTAGAATGTGCTACTTGAAAGTCAAGAGATACTGATTACTTGGTAAGAGCCTCTTCTGTACAAGCATACATGCAGAGACTCTATGGTTAGGAGACAAACAATAGAAATAAGGCAGATTTAACTTGTGTCACTTTTAACACACAACCCTGAGATTATTCTCATTTTAACCTCATGGTATAAAGTAGTGTTAGAATATACATGACAAAAAGATGCATTTTGTGTGTTAGACTATTCTGACTGAAAGTGATTTATCTTACATGAAACTGCTTCGCTTAAGAAATAAAGAAGAATGACTTCCATTTGTTGATAGGATTTCTGAATTCTGATGATGCGGCACCATTCTGCTGCAGGCTTATTTTTATCTATCCTACCTTGTGAATCACATCTTCTACCACCAAGCTAAGATTAAATGCACAACCTTCTTGTTCCTGGAATGATAAAGACCTTGAATATATGGTTATATAAAAGTGCAACATTATTTTAAAAACAAAAACAAATGCACACACGTCACAGTTAGACTAAAAATAGCTCTTTGAAAAGAATAAGGCACATAAGTTAGCCTCATTTTATGTCTGTAACTTTATTACTATCACTGAAGAAGAGCAGCTCAGGAATGTCAGCAAAGTCCTATTTTGTTTTTTCTATAGTTAGGTTGAACATTTGCAGAAGTTTGGCTTTTCCAGTCATTCAAAAAAAAAAAAATATTAGCTAACTGGGCATGAGTCTTGAGTGCTAAAAAGCTTGTGATACTGCAGGAAAGCTCACAAGCTCCTTGTGACTTCTTAATGTATCTGTAGTGTTGAAGAGGATAGGAGATAGAACAAGGGGTAGGGAACAAGAAGATTTAGAAACAAAATTAGAAGCAATTTTAATTTTCTCTTGGCCCTGAAGTAGATAGTACTGTTCTCACTTTGACCTTTAAAATGTAAACTGGATTCAACATTTTAGGCCTCTGCTTGGCAGGAGACAAGATTCTTCTCCAACTGGCAGATTGGAGAATTGACAGGTGTTTCAGCTGATCACAGGGTTACTGCAGGAGGTCAGTGATGGCTTCAGACATCATGATGTCTCAGATGGACAATCAGAAATGTTCAGAACTCACTGCCATGTTGCATGATCACTGAGCAGAACAGTATCACTGGCTCTTTCACCTGGGAATGGAGATAAAGAATGAGACAAAAAAAAAAAAAAAGGCGGGGTGTTACCTACCTCAAAAAAGCAGGATATGTTTAGTTTGTACAGAGAAGGGTTCCTATTTTCATGACGGCACTTTACGATTGGTCTCTGCATTGAGAGGAAATGTTCTTAAAGAGAACAGTGTGTGTGTGTGTGTGTGTGTGTGTGTGTGTGTGTGTGTCTGTGGGTGCATCTGTATGTGAGTGTGTGTGTCTGTGTGTATATATGTGTGTGTGTGTGTGTTTTATAGAGGTGTTCAACAAATAAAATTCTTAAAGCCCAATTATCTTATTCAAAAATGCTTCCTTAGAATAAAATAGTTAACTGCTATTTGTAGTAGATGGTTTCCATTTCTTCTGCACAGGTTCTCTCTGTACGTTTGGAATTATGTTGATGTGTCCTAGAATGTGTCTACCAAAATATATACTACTGTCCTTGGGGCAAAGGAGTGATGGAAAAGTCTTCCTTTCTTAACATTCAGAGATAATTAAATTTTAAATTGAAAAATAATGATAACAAAATAGGCAAACTTTACAGAATTGCTACTCAGGATATTTTAGGTACTTGTAAATTCTGATTTCAATGCCAAGAGAGGAGGAAGGGGGAAGGGTGGGTTGTGGGCCAGGTCATTGGCACCGGCTGTGGTCACAGCAGCTCCTCATTGCTCTATCATCCCCATTTGTGCCTTCCTGTCTGCCCAAGTAGATGCAGAGCAAATGGGAGGGCCCTGTCAGGAGCTGGAACACGAGCCGCCAGAGGGGAGATTTGTAGTGATGCCAGACAGTAGTCCAGCAGTTGGTCCAGCAGCGTGCCAGTCTAGCCTGGTGTCTAGCCCCTGACGTGTGTACCTGGGCTTTCCAACCCACCCGGCATATGATTTGAACCTAGATTTAAAAAGGTACACAGTTTAGAAAAGATACAATAACTGCTCACAGAAAAAAGTAGAGAAGATAGACAGGTGTTTTATTGGTGCTTGTTTACACATCCATGTGCACACACATTCATATACACACCACACACACAATTTAATGTATTTTCAGTTGTAGCTGTTTGGCTTTAGGATTTAATTTCTTCAGATTTATTTTTGTTGTTACTATCTGATATTTCATTTATGACAAACAGCATATTCTATATAACAAATAATAAACTGAAATCAAAGCATTTTTACCCTTTGCTGAGAAAGTAATTTTTAGTGAGACTTTGCACATCAGTCACTTAAAGATTAGTGTAAGGAGTGTGTGTAAGCACTATTGCACGTGAAACCTTCCAAAATATGTGCATTTCTGCAGACCCCAGTCCTGCTCTTCTTCCGGTAGGAGTCTAACAAAGACTCAAAGTAATCTTATAGCTACTGAGTGAGGATTCGCAGCACAGAGACTTACAAGTAATGAGGAAGACTTTCTCCTGACGGTGTCAAGTGATGTGGACTGCAGTGTGTTACATACTGTATGTATGAGTTCTTCAAAGGGCAGAAGGGAATTCTGGTGTGTGGTCAAGATTTATTTCACAAATATGCCAGTGATGTATATATGGTGGGTGTGCAAGTGTAAATAATTTTTGGAAAGCAACTGTGTATAAAATTGAAAGTTTAACATACAAATAGCTAAAATAAATAGTAATTCAAGATCTAGGATTATCCCATTAAATATACCAAGAAAAATAGTAACTCAAACACTAGTAGGTCTAGTTAACAACTTAAATTTCTACCCATTAATTTAAGTGAACTGAGATGTACCTTAAAAACACGATAGCGTAAAGATATTAAGAACCTGATATTGGTCTCCATGCTGATATGCACATTTGTGCATGGCATTAAATAATATATTCAGTGTTTTATTGTTGCTGTGGTTAATCACTTACATGAGAAAACTTAAGGGAAGTTTTTTGTTTTTTGTTTTGCTTTGTTTTTTTTTTGTTTGTTTGTTTGTTTGTTTTTGTTTTTCCTCACAGTTTCAGAATACAGAAATGCTGGGTTTCAGTGTTAGAGACTCAGGCAGATCTCAAACATGAAGAGGTCTGTGGCTGTACTGAAATGTATGTGCCTTCAATTCCTCTCTGGTGATTGTGTGCAGCCCAAGAAAGAAAGAGTCATAAAGCCAAGCAGTACCTTCATTATTTTCAACATTCATAAAATTTCCTTTGGTCACCTTTAGTTTCAATTTAACTAGTGAAAATATTATTTTGTTACTGTAAGCCCACTGTCCATTAATACTTCCCTTAGTTAGGACCTTCCCTGTGCCTCTCAGCTTATGCTATGTTACATGTTTGGGGTCTTAGAAACAGGTACTTTATTACATCTAAAGCAAACAAAATAGTAAAGTTGAATTCTGGGAAATTTTGAGTTAAAAAACCTGGAAGGTGAAGCAAAATGGGAAGTTCTTGCTTTCACTGAATTTTAAACCTTAAACTGAAATAGAAAATTATCGTTATTATTATTTTTTTAAATCACACCTGCAGTTTCCCTCCCTTCTTTCCTCTCAGTTCCTCTTCCCTACCTCCTCTTTGCAAAACCCCCAATTCCCCTTCCCTTTTATTTTCAGAAAAGGACTGGGCTCCCGTGGATATCCACCAAACATGGCATGTCAAGTTGCAGTAAGACCTAGGCACCTCCCCTCATATTAAGGCTAGACATGACAACCCAGTGTGAGGAAAGGGGTCCCAAAAGCCTGCAAAAGAGTCAGAGGCAGCCCCTGCTCCACTGTTAAGATTCCCACAAGAAGACTAAGCAACACAAGTGTAATATATGTGTTAAGGACCTACATCGGGCCCATACAGGCTTTCTGGTGGTTGTTTCTGTGAGTGCCTGTGAGCCCAGATTGGTTGATTCTGGTTTTCTTATGGTGACCCTGACACCTCTTGCTCCCCCTCTCCCCTGCAGGATTCCTTAAGCTCTGCCTATTGTTTGGCTGTGGGTATTTGCATCTGTTTCCATCAGAACCTTAAACTTTGGAATGTATAAGAACTGGGAAGACTGCTTTCCTTAGAGACTGAGAAGCTAGGTCCAGGAAAAGGATCTACTTTAAAGTCTTTAAAGTGTTCTTCATTTTTAGTATAAGTGAGACTGCCTTAAGGAATGAAATGTCACAACTCCAATACAATTATTTTATGAATAATTATTTTAGCTGTCTTATGTTTTAATCACCGTGTCATTTTTCAACATTAATGACAATCTTAAACATATGACTGTTGATTCATAGACTTTATATAATTCTCTAAAATTTTTGATAGGAAATAAAATAATTTTAAATAATCTTTTCTTAATATGTTAATTAATAGTTTCATTATGTAGCATATAGAATTAAGTTACTAGAGTTTTGCTTTGGATATTCATTGCTTGCAATAAGAGACATATCAGTAATTACTAATAAATCTTCATGCTCACATTTGAAAATACATAGCCTTTGGTAAATTTGCAAACCATTTTGTGGCTATATTGGATAAAATATACTCTTTTAACCTTTCCACTATCTAAAAATAAATATAAAATATTATATATAACTAAGAATTAAACAAAGTCTATCTACCAAATGAATACTTCCCTTTGTTTATTAATTATATAAACATTTTTAATTAAATTTTTATATTAATTACAGTTTATTCACTTTGTATCCCAGCTGTAGCCCCCTCCCTCATTCCTTACCAATCCCAGCCCCTCTCTCTCATCTCCTCTCATTCCCCTCTCCATGCTTTTATGTAATCTGAGTAACATAGTATAGAAAAATATGTTATTTTGTTGTTGTTTGGGGATTTTTAGCATATTACCAGAAATGTTTTAGTGTGTAAAGATGCACTGAGAAATCTTCTGGGAAGTCTATAATTTTAGCAGTAAACTGTTTTTTTGTTTTGTTTTGTTTTGTTTTTTTGACAATATGGTATTTGCCATATTGAGATGATTGGACCACAGGACGGAGCTGATGTAGGCTGCTGTTTCAATTTCTAGGTAGACCAGTTAGCCTTGCTCAGTTTCACCTACATACTCAGGGTCTAAATGACTGAGAAAGAAAATGAGAATGCATTACTGTGAGTCAATTCTCTCTGGAGGCAAGAAGAAAACCCAAACAAATAAAACAACAGAAGTTTAAGAGCGAAGTTCTTACCAATCCCTGACATTACTGTTGTGATAAAAAGACACAAGAGGAAATCTGACCCTCTCCACACACAGCCTGGGTGCTAAGGAGCTGTGCTCTCCACAGTGCTGTATAATGACCTGACTTTTCTTTTTATAGTTACAGTGGAGGGGTTCCAGCTGATAACCTGCCTGAAATTATTGCAGGCCTGGTGGGAAGCATCTGAAGAGAACAGTCATGTTTTCACTTGACAAGGAAGCCATTAGCAAATCACTGCTGTTCTGTAAATTACTGTGCTGCTTAACGTTCAGACAGAGATCTTACTTTCTTTCTTCATAAAAATTGCAGATGAAAGGGCTCTCACAGTAAAGAATCTGTATTTAAAACAAAGCAATTCCTAGAATTCAGAGACTGTCAAACAGCAGCTCTCAGGTGAAAGCAAAACAAATGCCCTTTCATTACTGAAACATTGTCCATGCTCTAGTAGAGTCAGCTTATCATTGACTGTTTTGTGACCATTTGTGGTGAATCTGCAGAAGGTTTTGAGGATGAAAACAGAAGCTAAGTTGTTTTTGTTGCTTGTTTGGTTGGTTGATTTTTGAAGAAAAAAAAAAGAAAGATAATTTTGGAAATCAGAAGCTTTTGAGTCTAAGTTTTCTATCTTCAGAACTGCTTCACAAATTCTACTCTATCTGAATATGACACAAGGCCAGGAGCAAATGATCCTTACTGTATTGCTTAGAATGTCATTCTGAACAGAAGTAGCTAAGGGCTTTTCATTTTATATTGAGATAACAGATCCACACTTAATCTGAGAAAATGTGGCCTTTTGTCCACCAGCAAGACATAAGTGTTGATACTCCGAATAAGGCAGTTTCTGCTGTGGGAGGGTGTAAACAAAAGCACTAGTCTGGCTAGCCCTCTCCAACAGTGTCAGGAGAATGGGACACAGAACTGTCTCATTTCTTTTCAGTAGCAATAAGATGAAGAGGCAGAGGCAGAATAAAAGCAACTCCTTAGAGAGTGAGATCCACATTCAGCTCCCTGTCCATAAAAGGGGGAGGGGTGCTGGGAAACACAAGTGATCCAACCTGATCAAGTCCACTTACTAAGTAAAGCTCCTACAATTTCAGGACCTTTGCTAATCAACAGCAAGTGCTTCAAAGCAGCTAATATATATATATATATATATTTTATTTTATTTTATTTTATTTTATTTTATTTTATTTTATTTTATTTTTTCTCAAACTATTAACACCACCAGGCTTCAAAGCCAGATACCAGGGTACTTGAAAGTTGTAGCAAATATTTATCAGGAGCCTATTATTTCTATATTATATTACATGTGTTATTATTATATATCAAGAATAATATGTTCAGGAAAATGGGATAAATGTGGCTTTATGTTTTGAAAGTGCAATCCTTCAGGAAAGGGTTAAAGGAACTGGTGTGTTTCATTCTGAAGACAAGTAGACTAGGTTTTTAACATTTTTTTTCCCCAGCCTTTTTGAACAAGTACTTATCTTGTAACTAGAGGATTGGAAAATATTTTAAGCATCTGTGTTCTCAACTCATCTAAGTGTCATGCATAACAGTTCCATTCTGATCCATGAAAGGAAAGTTAGTTCACTTCATAGAGGCATACATGAAATCAACCAGGGCATGGTTCTCATGTCCATCAGAGATTAGTGAGGTTTGATTGGGTACATGGCAGAATACAAACCAACACTGGCAAGACAGAACCTCAAAACTGCTCCTGAAAAACAGAACATGACATGTAAAATAAAGACTGATTCCTAAAAATAACTCATATAGCATTATGAGTCAATTGGAAACATTTTTAGATTTTGACACTTTGCTTTAATTTCTTCTAACTGGAATTGAATAAGTATAGGACAATGCGATTAAGAATTTAAGGCACAGTTCTAGCCTCAACCTCAAATCTAAGTGTTTGGCTGTCACAGTGTAGGGGAGCAACAAGCAAAGTGAAGAATCCGTGCTGCTAGGTTAAAACAGAGGATGGGCTGGTTTTGCGAGAGCGAAGAGATGACAGCCAGAGATTCATTTTCTGTCTGAAGAACTTGGCTCATGATGCAGGGAAATGCCTATCTCTGGCATCAAAGAGGACAAAGAAACTGCACATTGACAAAGAGAGGCTGATATAAAGGAGCCCTGAAAGGAATTCCAGCATACAGGGTTGCTTAGGTTCTGTAGAGGTACCTTTGTTCACGTTCTGATAGTCTTCATTCTAAGTGGTAATACTTTTGTATATAAGAGTGCTTCAGTGAGTCAATCACGAATAAACTATTGTTAGAATTACAAAGATACATGAGGCACACTAAAGTTTCATAAAGTAGTTCAGGAAATTTTGAATTTTATACTCAAAAAGCTGCCTCTTTTCCTTATGTCTACTTTTATGGTAAATGCAGATATAGGAAAATTTTGGATAGTATTAGTATTTGAAGACCTCTGTATAGTTGCTAACAGCAAATCATCTTTTATTTACTTATCCACAGTCATAATTCCAGAACTGTTTATCAAGATCACTTGGATTACACTTCAAACTACACATGACTTTTCCTAATGATCCTTTAAGGAATATTTGGACCAGGCATCTGTCATACTGTGGATACAATCTGCTTTCTTTGGCAACTTATTATTAATGTTAAATGAGAGTCCATATTGAATTTGCTCATGTAGGCAGTTCACATGAACAACCTGAAACTAAAAGTGAACAGTGATGAGCAGTTGCTGACTTCCAAGAGTTTGAATATCCGAGTGTACATGTCTCATTTATATTTTACTCACTCGTGTGTATTTTACTCACAGGCGTTTCTGTTATATTCAAGTCAAGATTGGAGTAGTTGAAATAGGATAATGTTTGAGGCCGACAATCATGTAAAGCTTGCCTCAGCTCTCCCTGACCACTGCACTTTTTCCATTTACAGCCACTGCAGAGCAAGAAAGTGAAGCGGTACCTCTGTCTGCACGCCCAGACATCTTAAGTAAATCACAATTAGATGACTGCCCAAGGGACTCTGGCTGTTATATCTCATCAGAGTGCTCAGATAATGGCAAAGAGGACCTGGAATCAGAAAATCTACCTGACATGGTACAGAAGATTGCCATCACCGCGCCCGGTGACTGAACCCACACTCGCATGGCCATACACACAGCTGAATTTCATTTGAACTCTTTGTCTCTGCTACAGGATCAAATGGGAGGGTTCTAAAGGCATCCCAAAGTGCAAGGTGTTTGAGTCTGAGTTTTATAGCTCTAAATTTCCAATGAGTGTGCATAAAATGCCTATTTATTAAATGCTATGTGTTAAAGTTCACCTGCCTGTATTAGAAAAACAGATAAAATGCAAGCCCATGTGTGGTGTGTGCTCTATCTACCTTTATTTCCTAAGTGTAAAAAATATAGTTATGGAAACATTGTACTTAAATATATGTATATATTATTGAATAAGTTATAGAAGTTTCAGTTGAACTAATTTCTTCAAGTAGTATATACACTCATTCTTTTAAATTACTGCAAAAATGAAGGCTGACATTGACTGTGTTCTGTTCAAAGGCAGAATTTTAGTAACAATTTTCTGTTTAGTTTTTCACTCTGCTATCTGATATACAGATAGAGTTAACAAAATACTGTCTTGGTTTAGTAAAAGTAATTGTAGAGATGTTTTTATCTTTATATGTAAATATTTTTAAAATTTGTCTATACCCTAACAATAATAAAATAAACTATGTACATAGTGTATGTGCTAGGCTGAAGTTACTTAAAGTATTTAATATTATACTTTAAAGAAAGTTTCTAACAATTGGAGCAGGGGCTGTCTCTGCCTCAGAGGCCCGCCTCTGGTTCCTTTTTCCCTAGTTGGGATGCTGTGTCTGGTAACCATGGGGTGAGGGGCCTCCCTTTCTTTGAGGAGAGGGTGAAAGGGGAATTAGAAAGGGGAGCATGAGGGTAGTAACGGGAAGAGAGAAGAAAGGGTTCTTCTATCAGGATATGAAATGGTTTAATAAATAAATTGATGAAAAAGACTCCCCCCCCCCCAAAAAAAAAAAAAAAACCAAAGAAAAAAAGTTTCTATTGGACCATGTTGTCAGCCCATGGTTAACACTATATAGAGATTACCAAACCATCTTCAAACTCCAGATCCATGTTACTGAACTTCCTGAATACTTCAGATTCCCAATCCCTTCATTTCCATTATAAAATTGTCTCTCTTGTTTTATTTCTTCTACCCCTCTATATTTCTGAAACCAAGAGCTAGTCACTGAAATAGGAAGTTGTTTTTTTCTTTGCTCTACATGCATCTTCCTCATAGAAAGTCACTAATGAAGTCCTGTAGAGCCTACCTCCAGAAAATCTTCCATCTTCACGACACCCCATCCATACCCAGGGCTGCTATCAAATTGGACTCTTGTGTGAGATGTTCTAATGTCTTTCCAGTCAATATTCCACCTTCAAATCCATCCCCATATAGTCTCTAGAAAAATCTTTATGACTCAGATAAAATAATTCTCTTGGCTTGAAGCATTTGATGGCCTCTCATTAATTTTAGCATAACATGTAAACACATGTAAGTTCTTTGCCAAGGACTTCTAACCTACTTTGTGAGGCATGTCTCTGCCTTCACCTTTCAGTGCACAACCCAAGCCTACGAATATACCCACAGTCTTCTAAATTACTACTGCCTCTGTCATTCTCTATGGGACGGGTATTTTTCCATGGCTTATCCTGATTTTTTTTCAGTTGAATTTTCCCTCTATTCTGTCCCCAAACTACTACAAAAGTGTTGTTTGGTATGTAAGTTTCGTGACCCCCTTCTGTGCATTCTTCCTTGTGTTTTGGCACCCCCTGATGTATTGCTGATGGCAGAAATTCTCCACTTATTTACACGATAGCTGCTTTTACAAAAGACTGTGCTCTCTTCGTGGCAGATTTTTTTTGCTCAGGCTTTTAAATACACAGTATCTAGCAAAATCTAGCACAGGCGGAACATTTAGAAAATAGTTGCTGGGATGTATTGAGCATGGCAAATATTTCCCGTATTGAACTGGTACATATTGTTTTATATAGGTTGGTAAGTAATTCTTAGGTGAATGCCTCCAAATTATATAAAAGTTTTAAAGGGAAGATGTCGAGTTGGTGGGATAGTTCAATGTTTAAGAGTGCTTCCTCCTCAAATCATGAGATCTGGAAACTGGGTTACAAAACCAAGTGGGGTGGCACACAAACACCTGTAATTCTAATTCTAAGAGATCAATACCCTATTCTTGCCTCTGTGGACACACACACACACACACACACACACACACACGTTTATACAGTTAAACACACACACACACAAATAAATCCTAAAACTGAAATAAATAAAAGGTAATAAAGATAACCCAAGCAAGATAAAATACTGTGAAGGCTGAGGACAACAAATAGTTTTAGCCTCTGACACCTTTATCAGATCTAATCTCACAAGCAGGGCCATCCCAGGTGCAGTGCACGTGGTTACCTCTCTTTGCTCCTCGGCCAAGAGTGCTCTTTCCTGATGATGGTGACCACTCTTGATAGATAGTCTAGAAGTCGCTTTTGGGCACAGCACAGGTACTGACATCACCTTTTGTTTCAAACTATGCTAACTCTACTCCCTCAGTTTGTTCAAGAGAGTGTAACATTTTCACAGTGATGCAAAGTAACTGTGGAATAATAAAATGATGCTAATCTCTTAATGAGTTAAACTCTTTCACAATTTCTACCCCTTGAATATGAGAGTTTTATGCCAGTTCAGGATTTAGGGATGACCTATGAAGGCTTAGATGAGACAATAGCAAAGAAAGTGTGAGCTCTTACAAAAGGGAGAAGAAAGAGAAGGAGAAAAAAACAAGAAGCTTAAGTGGTGGGGAGAAATGGCTGCACACACAGACCTGCTCTGATGAGGACATCTCTAGAGGAATATGTCTTCTCCCAGAATGCTGGGGCATTTTCTTTCCCTACTTAGTCCCTGGAGACCTGGCATCAGTCTGATCCATGCCAAAGAGGTCAAGATCAGCAGAATAAAAGCAGATTCTCACCTATTACCCACATAGAACAGTGAAGAGAGCGAGGCAGAAAAGCAAGAAAGCGCTCAACCAAAGGAAGTGAGCTGTGGGAACTGAATCTTCTGCTGCTTTTCCTAGAAGAGAGTTCATCTCAGGCCTTTAAAAGCAGATGAGAAGATAATTGGAAAGCCATGAAGCTAATATGTACAGGATATTCTTACTGGCTCTGTAGGTTTTAACCTGGCAAGATGCCCAATCATATACCTTATTTAGTCTTGGTCAGTAAATGCCTTTTGGACCCAATAGTGTGTATTTGAAGATAACAGAATCTACGTGTTTGACCCAGTAGTTCACAGGGAGTTATATACAGCTGTAAAGCCTCTCTGGTACAGAGTGCTTAACTGAGCTCAGAGGTTTCCTATATTTGCATAATTAGCTGTAACAGTAGATAAGGTTAAAGAAATGTTATCCCCAATAAATGAATAAAAATGTCTGACATAACAGCAATATTCAATACTTGGGATTGGATCCTGTGCTCTGTACATGTAAGGCAAGAACTATATCACTCACTTATTTTCTCTCTCTCTCGCTTTCTTAGTCATTGTGATCCTCCTGCCCCAGCCTCCTCAGTAACTGGGATTATAGATCTGCACCATTAGATTCAGTCTAGTTTTGTTTTTTATTTTGTTTAAATAAGTAGAAAATTCAGAGCATTTTCAGTTCCAGTTTTCCATTTATTCTACACCTGATATTTTTAAGCCTCAAATTTTCTTTAACTAAAAGTGTGGTATTAGTGACTTCTTAGTTTTTAATAAGTTTGCTAAGGGAGATAGATGGAAAAACCTTAAAAAGAAAATGATCAGTAGTTGATAATTAGGTTTCAGACAACTTCCATTTCACTGAGGTTAAAGCCACGTGTTTTGCAACTTCCTGAGTGTGGCAAAATTGATGACATTTAATGTTGAGAAATTTCCGCTGCAAGCGTAAGTTCTGAGAACAATATATGATGAAAGTTTAGATATTCCCTCCTCTTACACACAAGTACTATTCCATGCTGCCCCCAAAAGACTTCCTATCTAATTACCATTGAGGCTTCAAATACTCTTGATAAAGTCAGAAGCCATCCTGTATTTATTAAAAGGGTCAGGGGGAAGTGAATAAAATCTACACAGAGGTTAAAAATAATAGTAGCTTCTAACTTTGATAAAGTTTTTGAGTCCTGGGAATAAAATAGAAGTAAGCCTGCCTTTGATCTACCTCTATTTAACAACCGAATCCCTGAGCATTCTTTGTGGTACATAGACCTATAAGCTAAACATTACAGAGTTGGATCATCTGCTTTCGAGAACTGTGTGATACACTCAGGCATTTATCACTAGAAGGTGATTGTTTTTCCATATAAAAATGGTATAAATTACAGTATATGGATATGAAACACCCAACAGAGTGTATGTAGTGCTTGTGTAAAAGCCACTACATTTGTATATCCACGATTCCATTCTTCCCTGCTTAACTCTGGCTATGAGATGGAAGCTGTACTCAGTCTGTGAACGCACAGGTATGTACTTATAGTACATTTTCAAACATATATGGCCTGAGGTCTGCAGAATAGCTGTGTTGGCCAGAAGCAATGAATCAGGTCAGCTGCTTGTGGAGAACTCAGCTCATTGCCGTTTGTTTGTTTGTTTGTTTGTTTGTTTGTTTGTTTTGTGTGTGTGTGTGTGCTAACTTAGCTGTATGACACATTTTGTTTTGTCTTTGCATATCTCAAATCATTTTTTAATTCCTCTTGTGGTTTCTACTTTTGTTTTTTATTTATTATTTTATTTTATTTTTTAATATATTTTTTATTTTTAATAATTTTATACATTCACTTGTATCCCAGCTACAGCCCTCCCTCTCTTTTCCTCCCAGTCCTCCCCTCCCTCCCTCATCTCCTCCCTGCCCCCTTCCAAGTCCACTGAGAGGGGGTGTCCTCCTCTCCTTCCATCTGGCCCTAGCTTCTCAGGTATCTTCAGGATGGTTGCAATGTCCTTATCTGTGGCCTAGCAAGGCTGCTCCTCCCTCAGGGGGCAGGGGAAGCTCATGAGTTCATGTCAGAAACAATTCCTGTCCCCCTTACTAGGGAACCCACTTGGATACTGAGCTAGCATGGGCTATGTCTGAGCAGGGGTTGTAGGTTATATCCATGCATGGTTCTTGGTTGGATAAACAGTCTCATAGAAGACGCCTGTGCTCAGATATATTTGGACTTTGTGGGGCTCGCTGTCCCCTCTAGGTTATATTAATTCCTCCTTCCTTCATATGATTCCCTACACTCTGCCGAAGGTTTGGTTATGGGTCGCAGCATCTGCTTTGATACACTGCTAGGTAGAGTCTTTCAGGTGCCTTCTGTGGTAGCCTCCTGTCCTGTTACTTGTTTTCTCCTATTTCCAATGTCCATCCCCTTTGTCTTTCTAGATGAGGATTGATAATCTTACCCCTGGAACTCTTTCTTTTTTATCTTACCCATCAGAATGTCTAAGATCAAAAACTCAAGAGATGACGCATGCTGGAGAGGCTGTGGAGAAAGAGGAACCCTTCTCCATTGCTGGTGGGAGTGTAAACTGGTACAACCACTCTGGAAATCAATCTGGCGCTTTCTCAGACAATTAGGAATAGTGCTAC